ATAATTGTGATGGATATGTTACTTAGTTCAATGTAAGCGTTTCACATTGTATATCGAAGCAGTACCCTGAACCCCATAAATGCATCAATGTACAAAGTTATGATTTAAAAAAAAATTAAAAAAACAAAAGTGTATTAAGAGGTGGGGCCTTTCAGAGGTGATTAGGTCATAATCACATAAATAGAATTAGCACCCTTATCAAAGAGGCTTACGGAGCTGTATCCCCTTCTTTCATGTAAGGATACATGTACAGCTAACAGGCACTATCTATGAAAGATGGGTCTGCATCTCGATCCTGGACTCCCCAGCCTGTAGAACTGTCAACAATGAATTTCTGTTATTTATAAATTACCCAGTCCTAAAGTATTTTGCTATAGGAGCAGAAACAGACTGATACAATTTGGTACTGAGAAGTAGGGTGCTGCTGTGACAAATATCTTAAAATGTGGAAGTGGCTTTGAAACTGGACAACAGGTACAGGCTGGCAGAGTTTGGAGATGCATGCTAGAAAAAGCCTGCATCACCATGGATGAAACATTAGGGTGACTGTTGTGAGGTCTTAGCAGGAGAGGAGAGCCGTATAGACATCCTCAGTCTTCTTAGAGATCCCCTAAGTGGTCATGAGGAGAATGAGCAGTAAAGACCATTCTGATTAGGTCTCAGACAGAAGTGAGAAACATGTTATTGGAAATTGTAGGGAAGCCTTAAGTGGCAAAAAACTTGGGCAAGTTGAATTTGTATCCTCATGTTTTGCAGCAGGAGGAATTTATAAGCAATGAAATAGACCATGTGGCGGAAGAAATATCTGAGTTAAGAACAGTTTAGAGGATGCAACATGGCTTCTCTGGACTGTTTACAGTAAAACTCAAGACAAGAGAAACAAATTAAAGGTAATTTATAATCAAAAGGGAAGCAGAAAAATATTTGGAAAATCCTCAATCTGGCCATGTTGTAAAGAATAAGAAAACTATTCAGGTGGGACACAACAGGGACTTTACCTAAAAAACTCTAATCATTTGCACCCTCATAGTAATCTGAAAAAAAAATTTTTTTAATTAAAAAAAAAAAGCTATTTAGGAGAAAACACCAAGGATGTAGCCAAGTGAACAGTAGTATGGACAGATTTGATTCGTATGGATTGAAAAAAGCCAGATGTTATTCATCCAGACCATGGAAGAATGAATATGCCCAAGGGCATTGGGAACATCTTCAGAGCTGTCCTGTCTGTTGTGGGCCCAGAATTCCAGAGCTTTGGAGGCAGAACAATTTCAAGGTCCTGCTTCCCACATTTCAATGCTATTTTCCTTGGCTGTCCTCAGGAGGACAGGGTTGCCCTCAGGTGAGGCCAGGTATGGTGTGGGCTGCAATGACTGTCCATCTGGAGCACATAGATAAACCTTGCTGGCGTACATGTGGTATCATTTTCACTGGCCTAGAGAGTGCATCCTAGTGCACGCTAGGGTGGGGGTGAGCTTGGGGACATCATGTCGGCCTCCACTAGATTTCAAAGGATTCTTCTGATACTCTTGAGACCCAGGTAGAGAACTGCCACAGTGGGGGGTGTCGCAACCCCTCGGGCCTCAGTGGCCCTGGTCTCCATCACTGCAGGAAGAAACCAGGCATGATGCAGATTAGAAGTGCATGCTTGAGGGAGGCAGGCTAGCCCTTCTTTGCAGGGTAGCCCCGAGCAACCTCCACACTAGCCTTTTATTAAGACAGAACTATACAGGTGAGGGGAGTAATTAACAATGACTATGTGCTGAAGGCTTGGGCTCTTTCTCCATAAGGAGCTCCTGCGGACAAATTGCCCAAGAGTCCAACCCCCAGCTGTAAATCATCTTGCTTAGAGGTCATCTGGCTCTTGGCATCCTCTACAGGCAGGGCCACCACAGAGAGCCCTGACTATAGCAATGCCTAGTAGAGCCGTGGGGGTAGGGACCCCTGAGACCCCAGACTAGTAGAGCCACCAGCGTGCAAATCCAGCCTGGGAGCCTCAAGCACAGGACTCCAAGATATGAGAGTTGCTGTGTGGACTGTGCCCAGAAGAGGCACAGTGTTTTAGCAAACTCTCTGTTCTTTATTTTATTCTAATTATAATTATTAGACCCAAAGTCTCACTCTGTTGCCCAGGCTAGAGTGCCTTGGCATCAGCCTAGCTCACAGCAAGCTCACATTCCTGGGTTCAATTGATCCTCCTGCCTCAGCCTTCCCAGTAGCTACAGGTACCTGCCACAACGATTGCCTAATTTTTCTGTTTCTAGTAGAGATGGGGTTTTGCTTTTGCCCAGGCTGGTTTTGAACCCCTAAGCTCAAGGGATCCTCCTTCCTCAGCCTCCCAGAGTTCTAGGATTACAGGCATGAGCCACTTTGGTCTTTATTAACTTGGTCATCAAAAAATCATTTCATTGTTATTCCAATTCACATTTAATTCTTCATGAATAAGGTCAAGTATATTTTTATATTAATGCATTTAAAATCCATTTTCACTTTTTCTATCAAAAAGTGATTTGATAGAAAACTTTT